ACTCTTGGAGACAGGGGTGCCATGCAAATGGATGTTGATGGCAGCACCAAGGTGGAAGAGTTGCCACCAGCAGCTGGCTGGACATGACTGAGCTGGTGAGCAATTCTCTGCTTCTTGCTGGTCACAGGACTGGTAAAATCAGAAGCCAGAGGCCGTTTCTGCAACAGCAACAAAACAAATACATTCATCTGTGATCAGAATCAGGTTTGGCTCCCATTCTGAAAAAAAAACAGCATTTGTGAATAGGCAATTGTTGCAAACCCATCTTTCTTACCAAAATGAGCTGTCCAACAAACAAGTACTGCAGCTAAGTATAAGCATTATTTCATTTTTAGCTTCTTTTCTTAGGACATAGTAAGTCCTTCTCCAAGTCAACAGCTCAAAGGCTTTGGGAGAAAGACACTCACTTCAGCAGCTCCATCAAAGGCTTCCCAAAATACAGAGGTTGGGCTGGTTTTGCCTAGGGCCCAATTTCCATTTGTACACTCCAGGAAAAGACTCAAATTAGCTGTGACACACTCCCTCGATTTACCAAAAGGCATCTGACTGTTGGAGGGTTTTAGGTGGTAAAGAGAAGATTACTGCTTCAATGCCACAATTCCTCAGCACAGGGTGTGATGCTTAGCTCTGAATTCTCATCAGGCTGGACCAGTCACATGTCAGGAAATTCTTGTGCTTTTATGCAGGATTGCCCTAACTCCAGCAGCCAGCCCACTTTTTGTACTCGAGAGTTGCTGGCAAACAACTTATATCTCTACAGCAGATTTTCACAAGTGGTGACTAAGGAGCCCTTGCTTTTGCTCAGTGCAGTTCAATCAGCTCTCAGTTCCTCACAAGGACCTTCTCAAAGGTGCAGGCTCACAGGCTCACAATCCACAGCACACAGCTACAAGATCCCCACTCCCACAGCAAACTCCAGTAGTGAGCATGGATCAGGGCAGGACAGCCGTGCTTTGCCCAGGCAGAGCAAGGGTGGAGAGGAATAAAGGCAAAAAAGAGAGTGACAGAACACAGAATATTACCAATCTGTACATCCTGTGCTTGTCTGGCCACGTGGTTAGTCTGGAGTAAGAGGAAACACTGAGAGTGAAAGAGAGAGAGAGGGAAAAGAGAGCCAGAGGGCCACATCTGTCCCACCCTGGTGCAGCCCCTCATGCACAGTAGATTTTTCATGTGGTTCTGTCACACGTGCACAGGCAGCCCTTTGAGCCCTTCTCCAGACTGTGAGTTGAGTGTGGGCACTGTGCTCAGGTCTCCAGGCAGAGCAGAAAGTTGGCTCAGGACAGCGCTGCTCCACCTCTGCAGGACCCTCTCTTCTGATCACAACCTTCCCTTTGCAGCACTCAGACTGTCTGAGGCAAAACATGCTTCTTCCTGCTCCTGCACATTCACATCACAGCTTTTCCACCACCAGCAAGAGTGCTAAAACTTAATACACAACACAGATGTTAAAAATGCACAAAATACCTGAGCAGGTTTTGGTGGAGCATCTCTTTCAGAAAGTCTCGGAGATGATGATTGGCTGGTACTGGTGATATTCTCCGATGGATCTGATTTTCTGCAGAGATGGTCCAACACTCCAGGTTACAAGGTTGAAATTATCAACTGTCACAGCTCTTTCCTCACAGGGAAAACAGATGCTAAGTTTCAGGACTCAAGGAAACTGCATGAAGCTGAGTTGAGGGAGGTTTAGGCTGCATACCTAATGGAAAATGTTCTTGCCCCAGAGGGTGGCTGAGCCCTGGAACGGGCTCCCCAGGACAGTGGTCACTGCACCAAGGGTTCAGGAAGCGTTCGGACAATACAACACTCTCGGGCACAGCGTGTGATTGTTGCTGTGTCCTGTACAGGGCCAGGAGCTGGACTTGATGATCCTAATGGCTTCCCGCTCCCTCAGCACATTCTAAGAAGCTGTGCTTCATTCTGAGAAGGGTTTTTTTTTCTGCAAAGGCTCCTTTCCTTCCCCAAAAGTCTGAACTCACCTAGAAAGTATTAACTTCAAATTCTGTCTGTCTTCTTCAGTGTAGCCAGRCCAGTCATTCTGAAGGGTTTCAAACAGATGTTCCTTCAGACGGAAGGAATTATCCCTTGGGTTCAGGCTGGCTACCTACAGGTCGACATTGAAGAAACAAATGATCATTATATTCAGTTTATGCAAACTAAAGAAATCCAGGTGTGTCCTGAACAGCTGTTTGTGAGCAGCCAACTCAAACTAAATGCCGTCTTTTAGTGCAGAGATGAAATATTCCCCTATCACATGAATTTCAAACCATACCAAAGTTTCAACAACTGGGCACAACCAAGTAACTCTATTCCTATCTGGCAAATGGTACTTTGAAAACAACATTTAGTGCTACAATGTGTAAGGAGAGGTGAACAGGCCCAGAGTCCCTCTTGATGCGGCACAGCCAGGCTTCATTCCAGCCAAGTCCTGCTGTGAGAAGGCTGTACATGTCTTGCTGTACTCCTTTGAAAATAAATTAGGTTTATAACTTCCTCAAGACAAATAGAAAGTGTACTCAAAAAGGAAAAATGAGGTAGTAAAACCTCACGACTACTGATATCAACTTGGAGTATAAATGGCTTCTTCATTTGGGATATCAGAACATGGCTTTCATTAAATCATTAATGTCTCCACAGTGAAAAACCCCTGCCACTGCCCTGGGGAAACAAAGCTATAAACTTCACAGGGTCAAGGAATGAGTTCTT